GGGTAAAATGTGACAGCTCTTTGAAACTAGGAGGATTTAAAATTTAAATGTCTTTGTGGGCAAGATAAACACACCTACCACTCAACAGAGAAAGGGAAACTTGGCAGGGGCCCCAGAACTTTCCCCACCCCCAGCCCTCCTTAAACTTCCTCTTGTGGTTTCTCAAGAGTACAACCTGTTCTTCACAGCCAAGCAAGTGCCTGGGGCAGGGGGCCATGCATGCCAAGGGCTCTGCTGCACCCCACCCTATGAGTGTGGGAGGAAAGGTGTGTGCGTGGCAGAGGAGCAATCTGGCGGTCTGTACAGTTCTGAGCAGTCACATCCTGCTTACCTGCTATCTCAGTGCAGCCACCCTCTACCCTGTTCCCACCCTCTACCCTCAACTCCAGCATCAACACCCATCCTCCAAAACACACCCCTCTCTCAAAGGCAGATGCACAAGGTAGTTTGAGCGGGACCACCTCAAGGCCTCCCCAGACTTGTGTGGAAAGCCATTGTGAAAAACTGAGTTTCAAAAAGGAAGTAGAAAAATAGCTGGAATCTATGGAAACTCTGTCTGCCCTGTGGCCTGGGTCCCTTGATGGGCACTGTCCCAGTCTACCTGGAGGGACTGGGTCAGACACTCACATGCAACAGCTACGGGGAAGAGAAATGGTAAGCATCTTAAGATTGTTCCCACTCAGGCTGGCCAGTTGGCTCAGTTGGTTAGAGTGTGTTGCTGATAACATCAAGGTCAACGGTTCAGATCCCCGTAATGGCCAGCCACCAAAAAAAAGATGGCTCCCACTCTTGATATCTTCCTTTCTCAGCTACCAAGCAAGAATGTTCCTCTACGAATCTAGAATACAAGGATCTTTGCTATTCTCAGATTCCCAACAAAAGATGTGTCTTGGTTTCTCACATCCCCAGATTCCAGCTCATCACATTCATGTTGAGAAATTCTCTATTGCATCTAACTTTGGTTTTTTCCTCTTGGTGAGTGAGGCTTACACAAGAGAAAACACACACATACACAGACACACATACACAGCCATGAGGAAAGGATACCAGATCTGTGCAGTCCCCACAATTCTACTCCTGGCCTGCTGGGGCTCTCTGTTAACAGTACTAGCACTCCAGCTCAGCCAAGATTGCTGCTCACACTCTTCTGTATCACCCAAGATACA